TAGCTACACACATATCTACCGTTCACAAAAAAGCATCTGCTGCTCTGATGAGAGTGCACGTCTGCAGTGTGTCAAATATGCCTTACCTGTTTGAATTATGTTTTTATATTTCATTTTAAGCTGCTTCCAAATGCATTTTTCCCCTGTGAGATTGTACCTACATGAAAATCAGATTTTATTCAAAACCACTCCACCACTTTTTCACCTGTATGCTACGATTTTAATTAAGTGTGGTTAAATGTTAAATTAATGGACTAGTGCATTCAAACTTACACGTTGACTAGGGCAGCAATTTTCTCCCATGCCGCCTCTCTCTCCTTGGCAGCTTAAGCAGTGTTTTTTTATGAAATATATGCTCATATTCGTTGTAGGCATTCATGAGCACCTCCAATTCCACAGGTGTAAAATAAGTTGATCGCTTTTTTCCTCCGGTTGCCATGGTGAATCGGGGTATCGGGGCTCCATTGATAATGGCTTTTTATTGTGGTTGTGCACGCGCTTAACTCAAGGTGTACCTACTCAGAGTTGATTGAACTAATTCAAATCAGCTGTTCTGGAACCGGATACTCAGAGTTTCCCATCTCAGGGTTAGTCAAGTCAGAGTTCAGGATTAGGGTTAGGAGTTTGTTGAACCTCCTACCTGGAGTGTTCCATGACACTGAACATGACACACCAATAAAAAAAACAGAAAGACATACTTGTGTAATGCAAAGGCATTTACAATGAGAAAGGATTCTTTTTTTTTTTTAAAGATTATTTTTGTGGGCTTTTGCCTCTAATGGATAGGACAGTGTGTGAAATGGGGAGACAGAGAGAGGGTGGGGACTGACACACAGCAAAGGGTCGCAGGCCGGACTCGAACCTGCGACCGCTGCAGCGAGGCAATGCCTTTGTACATGGGGTGCTGGCACTATCCACTATGCTACCGACACCCCAATGAGAAAGGATTCTTAACCCATGTTTAAAAAACCTGCGTAAAAGTGTTGAAAAGGGACAATAGAGATGCCAAAGAGTGCCTCTGGCATTGGTATGAAACAATGAGGGGCGTGACAAACAATGCTCTGGGAATGTGAATGGGTTGGATGTCTGTATCACAGTATCACATATGGCAACTCCTAACTGTTTTATACAGTGTATATAAAATGCAATGCTTTATTTGAGCCAGTGAGCTTTTAGCAGGGGTCGCGTTAACCGGATATTCTCGGTCATTGACTGTTTTTTTCACAACAATGACTGGAAAATCTGAAGGC